ACCCCGCAATCCCTTCTCCTCCATTCTCCTCTCGGGATCTTGGGCACGCACGCACACGCGCCTGGCGTGAGTTTTAAGCCACCGGGTTTGAGACGCGAACCGCGGTCGACTACGTGGGAGTCCAGCGACACAGCCATTACGCCAACTGCTGGTTCCCTACAATTTTTTTTTTCTAAAAGAGAAAAAGAAATGCAATTTCAGCAGAGGTTCTGGTTCTGGTTCAGATGGAATAAGCACAACCGACCCTATTTCTCACTGACAACTAAAAACCCAGGCTAGACTGTGTGGGACGGCCAGCGGAGGGTTCTGAAAGTCAACGGCAGGAAGCTTTTTCCCGTTTCTTTTTATTTTTCAATTGACAGAGGCCACACCTATTCACCAGAGACAGAGAGAGAGAGAGAGGGAGAAAGCACCCCTGCCGGGCGTGGTCACTACCATCCTGTCTCCATTTCCCCACGCTCTCAGGATCCTGAGCACGCACATGTTTTCCAAGCTGCGGAGGCTGGGATTCAGACTTCAGCAGGTCATGTGGGGCCTGGCTCTCTTAACCACTAGATCATGGTAGCAAGCGCTCTGGAGAGAGAGGCCAGGCATCGACGTACACACGGTTGAGGGGTGAGTCTCTTGGGTTATGTTTTCCTCCCAGGTCTCGAGAGCAGCACAAATCCTGGAACTAGCCTCCAGAAAGAGATCTGACAGGAGCCCTTGACAGCTCACCCAGCAGAGAGCAGGGCCCAGAGAGACGAGGGAAATCCTCGGGGTTTTAGTCCCCATGTTCTCCCAACCCTGTCTCCAGGCAAGTCCCGAGCTTGAAGCAGCAACTTCATGAGAAATGAGAGCGGCAATGACATGGGCAAGCTAAAAATCTGGGTAAGTGGGGCCAGCAGTTAGCGTAATGGCTATGTCGCTGGACTCCCATGTAGCCAACCGTGGTTCGAGTCCCAAACCCGGTGGCTTAAACTCACGCCGGGCACGTGTGCATGCGCGCCCAAGATCCCGAGAGGAGAATGGAGGAGAAGGGATTGCACCGTGGCCATCCCTCCTGGGGGGTGATTTCTCGCTTTCTGTCTCTCTGTCTCTCTCTGTCTGGCGAGCACACGTGCCCTATAGCAAAAACCTCTCAAAAAAAAATTGGGGGTAAGTATAGTAGATTATTTTGGGTCCCCTTATGTTTTTTAATATATGTATAATGGTTGAAGGCAAAAATTATGACACTGTCTAGTAGGGCGCTTTTTATTTTTTAATTGCCAGCAGGTGTGTATGCGAGAGAGAGGGAGAAGGCACCCCCAGCGAGGCCTGCTCTTGCCACAATCTTTTCTCTTCCATTTCTGTCTTCAAGCTTCTGGGGGCAGGATTTAAACTGCAGTTAATGTGGGAAAGGGCAGAGGGTCAGACACAGGGGTAAATATAAATATATCAACATATATATAAATATATTTACATATATATAAATATATATATATATATACACACACACACATATATATATATATAATACTTGTAAGTCTGCAATATAAGGAGTGAGCACAAACAAGCCTTTATGATGTCTGCATTTAATTAAAATATTAATTCTAAGTGAATAGTGAAAGATTAAGTATATACCTTCTAATCATAGAGCAATCACTAAAAAACTGTACAAAGGAATACAGTAAAAAATTTAAAAAGATAAAGCAACCATTAAAAATCCAGCTTAGGGGGGGACCAGCAGTTAGAGTAATGGCTATGTAGCCAG